TCCATTCCGGAACATAACTTACATCCGCAGTGGATACGCCCTTGTTATCCTCCTCGGTCGTGTATCAGGAATTTGATCCTTTTACCTATTAAATATGGGATACCATCAAACGATCCCTCACTAGCTCTACATTGTGCTATGACGCGCTTTATACCCGGAACAGTAGATTGGACGAAAAGTTGAGCAGCAAGAACCTGTTAGACATCATACCACATTTCTTTGCTTTATGGTGTTTTCTATTTACATCGGGATACAATCGATCCAATGATATTACAGAGAGCTCTCGACTTCAATTAAAGTAAAAACCCGCGTGCAAGAAACAAACATCAAAGGAGCAAACAAAGACGCCAAGATTTATGTTGGAAGGTCCACGACCGTGCAAAATCTATTGTTTTGCGTTCATATACTACGCATGAATTGCGTAACCAAAACGTTTCTATTGGTTAGTTTGAGCACGGTAAAGGCCAAAAAAGCGAGCAAAAACATACAACAAATTACTGAAATTAAAGAACTTTATCGAGTTTCATAACCGTTCTCCTTTATTATAAGCTAAACTGAGATGCGATCTATATTTGACCATAATTAGGTAAACCCTAAGACAACGAGTAGGGGCTTATTTTAAAGAGGCACCCGAGTACCCAGCCCAGGAGATTTCTGTGTCCATCATTTTGGAAAAAGCTCATTATACCTTTGAAATGTAAATTATGCAATAAGAAATCACAGCACAGACAAGGAACAACACAAAAAACACATGATCAAGTTTGACGGACACTTTTTGCCATGTTACTTGCTGTTCTTCTTCTTGCCAACCCCTGGGCGTGCTTACGCTAGTAGATGGGGACAGTTCAATTGCATTCACGGACGTGCGAGATTTCATGGATGGCGGCTGAACGTCTGAGCCAGCTACATGTATTCGTTGAACGCTTTTCTTTTTCCTGCACATGTTGAAAACGCTTTGCACCCACTCTGGGGGAGTGCCCTCCATGAAAAAGACCTTCAGGACGAAAATATTGGCAAACAAGACCAATGCCATGATGACCAAAGTGACCTGCAAACCTATTCCAAGGATTGGAACACCATCGGACGTTTCAGGGAGGAAAGACGGAATAAGAAGCAAGAAGACAGTCATAGCAAGAAGCATGGTGGTGACAAAGCCAATTCTCTCTCCACTCTCCACTGGAATTAAAAAGCTTGGAAGGGCGAGAAACATAAGCATTATACTGGGAATGGTCAGATAAAACAAGTGGTATAAAGGCTTCCGTGACATTTTTAGCGTGTAAACCACCTCGCTGAAATCAAATGGGCAACAGTCACCGTGATCTGTTAATTCTAATTTTGCGGAGATTTCGTCTATCGTCCAGTCACCGTTCGTAACAAACCGATCTGCAAATGAACAAAACGTATGATTTTACACACGGTGGCTGCGAAGGAACACCCCTACAGTCAACTCTGGCCTTGTGGACTCCCTGCTATTATGAACACCTTGCTATTACGGAGAGAAGCTACATCTCCACCCCAAACTACAGTCGAGCCCCTATTAAGCGGCTACTTATTAAACAGCCACCCTATTCGTAATCAAAATCCCGATGAGAGCTTTTCTGTTGTTTTTACCTTTATTAGAACCAGCCGAAACTACAAAGAAATGTATCAAAAGAATGTTTATTGCTCTACTCTCGTTAAAACGAACACCTTGGACATGTTGAGGGACATAATTAATTATTCTGCAGTCATACTTAGTAGTTTGTAAGGTATTTTGACCTATATTGTTTAATTATGTATCAAAGTAAAATGTGTATTACAAATGAAAAGAAACTGGAAACTTTTTTATTAAAAAGTTTATAGCAATATATGTTATGAATGACACTCCTCAACCAAACCTTGGGTCATTTTCATCACAACCCGCTATTGCGGACACCAGAGTTGACTGTATTGAGGTAACATCTCCTTCAAGGGACACAAAACATTTGTCGCCGCAAGCTGCATGCTTATAGATTTCTTTTAGCACAGGGACACTTCTCTCACGGGGGTTCTTCTCATTGTCCCTAGGGTGTCTCCTAAGAGGAGGTTCCNCATTTTTAGCGTGTAAACCACCTCGCTGAAATCAAATGGGCAACAGTCACCGTGATCTGTTAATTCTAATCTTGTGGAGATCTCGTCTATCGTCCAGTCACCGTTTGTGACAAACCGATCTGCAAATGAACAACACGTATGATTTTACACACGGTGGCTGCGAGGGAACCTCTACCTTTGAATACCCTTACAGTCAACTCTGGCCTTGTGGACTCCCTGCTATTATGAACACCTTGCTATTACGGATAGAAACTACATCCCCATCCCAAACTACAGTCGAACCCCTATTAAGCGGCTACCTATTAAACAGCCACCCTATTAGGCGCCCAGTAATCAAAGTCCCGATAAGAGCTTTTCTATTGTTTTTACCTTTATTAGACGGCCAGTCCGTCTTTAAGCGCCCACTATCTATTTCCCCGAGGGTGGCCGTTTAATAGGGGTTGAACCAGCCGAAACTACAAATAAAGGTTTAGAAAGAGCTCCCGCTATTACGGGATTGTGGATATTTCAAGTGCCTACACGCAAATGTTTAATGCTCTACTGTCGTTAAAACGAATAACTTGGACATGTTGAGGGGACATACTTAATTATTCTACAGTCATACTTACTAGTTTGTAAACTATTTTGACCTATATTGTATAACTATGTATCAAAGTAAAATGTGTATTACAAATGAAAAGAAACTGGAAACCTTTTTATTAAAAAGTTTATAGCGATATACGTTATATATGACACTCCTCAACCAAAACTTGGGTCATTTTCCGCTATTGCGTACACCAGAGTTGACTCTCCTTCAGAGGGACACAAAACATTTGTCGCCGCAAGCTGCATGCTTATAGATTTCTTTTAGTACAGAGACACTTCTCTTACGGGGGTTCTTCTCATTGTCCCTGGGGTGTCTCGTAAGAGGAGGTTCCACTTTATACTTTGTACAAACAAACTCAAAACACAGAAGGTCCTGAAAAGATGAAATGCGTGATTGACTGATTGTTTAATTGTCTGGGTCGCTGAGAGACGAGAAGCAGATATCATGATTTACTCAAAGCAACCTTACATGATTCGAATTACTCACTGGTAAATTCACCACTTGTATCTTTAAATAGTTTGATGTCCATCCTGCCAATTCCGTATGTGTATGAACCAAAGCCCATTTCACAGGTCTGGTTGTCAAATGGCCAGTTACCGATTTCTAATTTGCAGTTGGCTTTAAATGTAGCTGGTCCACTCCACACACTCATTCCGGTATTATCCACGGACACCTCAGTGACAAACTTTGTTCGTCCTCCGGCTAGAGTAACGCTGTCATCACCACTGAAATCAACGACAGGTTTATGAACTTACTTTGACATGTACTTTAGCAGCTTCTATCTTGCTTACTGTCTTAGCCACTCTTCTTTTGTGGGTGTTTTGTTTGCCGGGGGGGGATGGTTTATTGTTAGTTTTTTTTTTTTAATTTTCTTTTTACTGAAGTAAGCTATAATTTTAAGATTTCCTGTTTATTTTATCGTAATTTTGGACATCATAAATGAATGACTCAGTAGATAGTGACATTACATATATACATATTTATTACAAATGCATATTTTTATTTACATCATCGTGTGTATATATTTATTTCAAGTACATATTTTTTGTTCCATAAAAACATTCAAATCTTTACCAAACTGGCTCAATAAAAATATCAGCCACAATTTCTTTTATCTACAAACACCTACTTGTTGAAAAGAGAAATGTCCGGCACCCAGATTTCGTCCGGGACAAACTGTACTCGAGATACTCCTCCAAAATCATCCGAGTTCCATACAAGGAATTCATTTCTCCACGTCTGTGTAAACCGAAACAACTTTAAATAAGAAAAGTCTCATTTGGATTTGAGTTACGTTATGTTTTATGCAACCATATAAACATCATCCTGAGTAGCCAGCCCTTTGTTCATGAACTATAAATATGACCTGAGTTGAGAAATAACGGAATTCGGTTCAAACTCGTTCAACCTGGTTGAACGTGACCGTCGATAAAACCAGGAACATGGAACATCCCGGAACATTCCGGAACATCGAATAATTATGATAATTATGAGAAAATATGTAAAATTAAATTTTCGAAAATAAAATAAACAAAAATAAACTGGTATCAGCTCAAAATATGAAAAAATATTTTGGGGGGTAGGGGAGGGGTAGGGAGCGTTGG